AATAGACAAAAAAATTTCAAAATTACATCTTTTCTATAAAGTATCACAAAAAAAAAGAGATTAAACAAATTTTATTTATTCATGGTTTAAAAATTAATATATTTTATTTTTTTTACAATGAAAATTTATTAAAATGACATAATTTTGAATTATTTTTTCATTTAATTTTTTTACCGATTTGATTGATAAGCATTTTTCTTCAAATCTTTTACCTAAATTTAAAAAACACACACAATATATAAATCAATATTATGTTATGGCAAAAAATAATAATAATAATGTTTTTTTCTTTTTTGTGCACAGTTATTTTTGTGTTTTGCGTAGAGATTGTTTGGTTATGGATCTTATGGCATGGACTAATAGCTATTCTTGGAGTTCCAAGTTTCATCATATTTTTGCTCTTCAAATGGAGGAAAAGGCATTTATCCATGTATAATTCTATTGAAGAATTCTTGCAAAGCAACAATAACCTCATGCCTATAAGGTATTCTTACTCAAAAATCAAGAAAATGACCAATGGTTTTAAGGAGAAATTGGGTGAAGGAGGTTTTGGTCAAGTTTACAAAGCAAAGCTACAGAGTGGTCGCTTTGCAGCAATAAAGATATTGGGCAAATCAAAAGCTACAGGGCAAGATTTTTTCAATGAAGTTGCTACCATTGGAAGAATTCACCACATCAATGTGGTACAAATGATTGGCTTTTGTGTTGAAGGATCAAAACGTGCCCTTGTGTATGACTTCATGCCTAATGGTTCTCTTGATAAACAAATTTTCTCCACAGAAGGCAATATTGCAAGTTTGGGTTGGGAAAATCTATACAAGATTTCTCTAGGAGTGACTCATGGAATTGAGTATTTACACCGAGGTTGTGATATGCAAATCTTACATTTTGATATCAAGCCTCACAACATTCTTTTAGATGAGAACTTCACTCCAAAAATCTCTGATTTTGGTCTTGCAAAGTTATATCCAGCCAAAGGTAACACTGTGTCCTTGACTGCAGCGAGAGGAACTTTAGGATATATGGCACCTGAGCTATTTTACAAAAACTTAGGAAGTGTCTCTTACAAAGCCGATGTGTATAGTTATGGGATGTTATTGATAGAAATGGTTGGCAGAAGAAAGAATGTGAACCCATTTGCAGAGCATTCGAGTCAGATCTACTTTCCTTCATGGGCATCAGAGCAATTGAACAAAGGAATGGAGCTAGAAATAAGAGAAGTCACAGAAGATCAAAAAAGAATTGCAAAGAAAATGATCATTGTAGCCTTGTGGTGCATACAGATGAAGCCAATTGATCGCCCTTCAATGAACAAAGTCATAGAGATGCTTGAAGCAGAAGTTGAGAGCTTACAAATGCCTCCCACCTCTTTCCAGCTTTATCCCCATGCAACACAACAAGATGATGTTACAGAGAAAACCTATCTCACAGAATCTATTAGTTTTTCTTCATGCAATGATATAGAGATTGAGTCAATTAGTTTACTTGAAAATGAAAATTAAGTGGGATGGTAGTGAAGAAGCTTGTATTTGTATTAGATTTGCTTGCTTTACAACATAACCAAGGCAATGAATTTAGAGTTGCGCTGGTATGTTTGGCAACCTGATGGTTATGTATATTTTGAAGTGCATGAACTAGTTCTAATTATTTTGCCTATAAAATCAATTGAACAATTCACTAGAGTTAATTTTTATGTTTCAAAACTTAATTAAACTTTAGTTTAACACTTTGTTTGAGAACACTTCTTGATACTTTAGCTTTTAGCTTTTATGTCTTTGTACTATTTTAAAAATATATAAAATATTAATTAAAATAAATATTAAATATAGTAAATATAAGTTATATATTTTTCAAATGTTAAAAAACCAAAAAACCTACAACTACAGCTATAGAGTATCATTGTCAAACTAAACCTAAATCATGTATCTAGAGTTCAAATCCTCTTCATTTCTTGTCTCTATAGAAGTTGATAATTCTAAAGAACTAATTAAGCTCCTAACAAAGAAGCCAACATAACTATGACTTCTAAAAATTTTGGTGTAGAAAAAATCAATCGTAGGGTTGCACCAATTTCATTTCACTCAATAAGATGTAATGACCAGTATTCCTGAACTTGCCAAGAAACTAAAACCCAGGCATTAATTGATGATGTACAAAATTGACTTTGAAAATTCTCATGCAGAAAAAATTCAGTTGTGGGGTTGCATCAATTTCATTCCTTTCAAAAGGACAATAACCAAGTGCGATAGTTGGTGTTTCTTAACTTGCCAAGAAATTAAAACCTAGTCATTGCTTGGTGAAGCACATTTTGTAATTGATTTTCAAAGTTCTCATGTAGAAAAAAAACAATTGTGGGGTTGCACCACCTATTAGTATTAAACTGAGCAAAGACTTTCTCATCTCTGCTTGTCTCCTTATGGCTAGAATAGGGCTCCTCATTGCAGCCCTTCTTCTTGCCCTTTCTCATGAAAATTGTAGTGCCAAAGCAAGCCATCAATGTCCACCTTGTTCTTGTGGCAATATTCTAAATATTTATATCATCCTTTATGTAGAGACCCAAAGTATAAGTATAATCTATTCTTGATGTGAACCCCAAAGAGCGCAATGAGAACAAAGAGATTCAAAACCCCAAGGAAAGCCAAATAAAATTTATAGAAGACAAACTTTGATCCGTTATTTATATTGAAACAAGAACCAAAGATATAAAGGAATTTTGACACCACACTCAAAAACGATTAAGAACAAGAGTAACAAATCAAATTAGAATGCCACAAAAATAATCTCAATAAATTCTATAAAGTTCGCAAATGAACCAAGAGAAAAATTTAGAAAAATTTAGAAAAATAATCTCATATTCAATTAACCATCTCCAATTATGGTTACAAGCCTTCAAATAACTAAATTAGTCCAACGAAGAATAAGAAACTAGATTCTATACAAAAATCCAATTAAAAGTAGAATTGGATGTACACTACTTCTAAAAATGTTTGAATTTGTGTTATTCCTAATAAGACATGAATTAGACTTTCAATTAAAAACAATTTTTAGCGCAAATAACTAAAAAAAAAAACAAATCTAAGTAAAATAACATAAAAATCATTCAAAACAACTTAAAATAATGCAAAACATCAGTTCGCAACATTGTAACAAAAGTGTGCATTTGTGGTCAAATTGAGTGATTTTGATCTAAACTGTGTAATTTAGCCAAAACAACCTCAAATAAGTTGTTCTTGGACTTAAAAAATGTTTACTAAATCTTGATTTTGATGTCATATGTGTGCTGTCATCTTGATTCTCATCAATTTTTCTTGAACAATGTCACAATTTTACACCTTAATTCTGGAAAATTCTATGTGCAAGAAATCGATTATAATCACTCAATGATCAAAGTCGTGGATCCTAATGTTAATCAAGGTAACGAACATATGTTGTCCATTGATTAAACACATGCAAATGCAACTCGCTAATTTTAGGACCTTTTTTTTTTATAATGAACTGTATGCAAATTCAATGTCTTGCTTCTCCCTGATTTTGGTTTCTGCTTTCTGGTATATTTTGCAGCTTTGGTCATGCATTACGCTTATTTATCCTACACAACATTCATATTAGGTAATTAGAACCTTTCTCTTCTGGAGCTACTGTTTTTCATTTATCCATGTTGCACCGTCTTGAATCATGACGCATTAAAAATTCAAGTACATGTGATGAGATTATAAGAAAATAATATTAAGAACTCCAGGAGAAGCATGCAATATTTATCAGATGCTTTATTTGATAACCAATTATATCAATATATATCATTTTTTTACCCACAGGTGTACTTCATGGGGTAGCATCTGCTTTTGCAATTCCAAGCTTCATCCAGTTTTTGTTATATAAATGGCAAAGAAAGAATTTATCCATGTATGATTCTATTGAAGAATTCTTGCACAGTAACAATAACCTTATGCCAATAAGGTATTCTTAATAAGATATCAAAAAGATGACCAATGGTTTTAAGGAAAAACCAGGGGAAGGGGGTTTCGGCAAGGTTTATAAAGCAAGGCTTTCCTTCCAATTGATTAATTAATTGAGTTGCACGCGCACAGACACACAAAAAGGAACACTAACAGAAACTAATAAAATGGAATTGGCATATCTTACCTGAGGCATTAAGGCATCCATCCCATTGAGAAAAATCAAGCATTGTTGCCCTAGGCAGATGCATAATTCGAAGTTGACCTGAGAGATTGAAAAAACATTCAGATGTAATGAAACGGGACTACATTCAATGCGAAATTTGTTAGGGTATTATTTACATGACTCACTTGGAAAAATCCTGCCTTGGCAGAATCAAGAATTAAGCTCCATCCGTGGGTGATGGGTGTACCTTCCTAATGCATCAATCAATTCATGCTTTCAGTAATTGAATGTGACAGTCGATTCTCTTCATAAGAAGGGGAACTCCGGATTGCATTAGGGTTTCCTAGACGTACATTGAAAAAAAAGGGATCCGAGGGAGGGCTGTTGAATTTGGGTAAAAGGAGAAAAATCGGAAGTGAGAGAGTGCGCACGGAGAAGTCAGGAATCGCAGGTAATGAGAGATTCTTCGGTGAAGGGGGAGGGTATATGCAGTAATACAGTGGGAACCAGGAGACCCGCCACCAACCTATCTGTGCGGGGAAGAATCCAGGAAAACAAAGAAAACAGTTAATTGTAACTGGGAAAAATGGAAATGAGGACATTTACTTACATCCTGATATTTGAAATATTATTATAAAACTATTCAAATTAGTCGTATTTTTTTACGGTTACATTTTTTTGGTAGTCTAATTCACTGGTGGGGCTATCAATGCTGTTGCAAAAATTCGAGGGTTCGAAATGCCAGCTAGTCCTTTGAGTACATGGGTCTAGAAATGTTAGAAAAATTTCCTAAGAGACAAACTCCCTCAATTCTTGATTTTATTTAAAAGAAATTAAATTTATTTCACTTAAATCAAAAAATTATTGATGTTACTTATTCTATTAAAAATGATATATTATAGTCAATACTATTTTAAAGTGAGGAAAGAATGAGGGAAAACAAATACCTCTATGTGAAGATATAAAGCAAGTTGCAAAATCACTGCTCCAACAGCTAGAATGCACATTGCTACAACCAATGCAAACCTCTCCTGTCTCAACATAGTGGCAACTGAAATAACAGAAAGTTTCAAATGCCTTAGACCAATAACCCCACCTTAAGGAGTTATCAAGTAAAACTATCATAAACATTCTCAAGATGTTATCAATTCAAAGGATCTTTATAGGTGCTAATAGATGCAAGAAAATCTTAAAAAGTATTGTGAGGAAGACCTTAGGACCAACTCACATTGGTTGAGCTAGTACGCAGTTCAAAGAACAAAACTGATGGAAAGGGGCCAAAGTAACGGTCATGATCCAACAGTCCATCAATGTTGTTGCACAAATTAGCGGTTTTAAAATGCCAGCTAGTCCTCTAAGTACATGGGTCTGGAAATGTCAGAAAAAGTAGAGTTAAGCAGTGTAGGTGATGCAGTCATGGGATGACCCTTGAAAGAATTGCTTACATTATTAGGAGGGATATATTATAAAATGTCAATAGAATGTAGTACCTAGGACAACCAATGTTACTTATTCTATTAAAATGATATATTATGGTCAATTCTATTTTCAAGTGAGGAAAGAATGAGGGAAAACAAAGACCTTTATGTGAAGATATAAAGCAAGTTTCACAATCACTGCTCAAACAGCTAGGATGCGCATTAATGCAACAAGCCATATGTCGTTGATGATTCTTCCTCTGCACATATGCAGATGATGTGCAAACCTCTATCTTTTTGTATAATTTAAACAACTTGGTCCGGGATGAAGAATGTAAGCTTGGCTGATGATACCAGACAAAAAGTGGATGAGGAAAGTGCCAGAGAGAAAGATCCTTGAGCTTAAGGTTGTTTTCAATAACAACGTGGAAAAAAGATAAGCCACTGAATTATACAGGAAGTTTAACTATTTGCAAATAGGTTACTGCATTATTACCTATCAAGTATTTGTTGGTCAGCCATCTGTAGGATAAAAAGGAAAAAGGTATATGAATATAATCATGAAAAATATTTATGAACAACATTTGCATTGTAGCAAAACTTTAAACCTGCTTGGGGAGCCTATTGAAATTGCAAGAAAAAAAGAGGCAAAACATATAATTGAGAGTGCCATATAATGAATGCCTACTGGCTGTAAGTTTATGTTAAAATATTAGAGTTGCTATGACTGCAGACAATAAAAAGTAGAGAAATGGAATCATATGAATATCTTTTCTCTAAAAAGCCAAAAAGCCAAATACCAGCCTACAGTGATTATTGAAACAAAATTAAACTTAACAACTCAAAGGTCCATTAAACTTTCTAGAGGCAGGACTAAATTTATTTTACATCTGTAACATGACTAAAAAAACAAAAAAAAAAAAAAAATTGCTGAATTGTATAAATAAAAAATAAAAAATTGTAGTTTTTCTGCGTACAACCTAAAGTAATATTTAGTTATTTACTCTTCCATCGTAGATAAAGAGTTATCTACTTCAGCATATTGAAAATTATGCCAAAACCTCCTAGAAGATTAATAAGCCATGTAATTAAATGAAAAAGTAATATAATAAATGATAGGTATTAAGCAGTCTATTAAGAACTCAAATCACAAAGAAGACGCTAATATAACAACTGCCACATAATCTCTTAATTGCTAAAAATGGTAATTCCAACTCTTGACATATCTCTTGATTATTTGTTTAGATCTTCATTTTTCCTGCACCAACCATCACATACGCCTGATAAGAACCAAGCAGCAAAGTAAGAACTACAATGCAACCCACTAGCTATACATAGAAAACAATATTTCTTCATGCTTATTTCTTTATTTTTTTTCATAGAAAACTGTGTGCATTATCTATGTAAATGTTGTCATCTTAACTGCATTTACTGGAATATGGATTGAAAAGCCTGACCCTGCTACTAATTGGAAAATCATATATACCAGACAATAAACAACAAGAAAAATTGAAGGATATGAATATTGAAATGCCATTAATTATGAATAATGTTATAAGACTAGATTATATTACATGATTATTCTATCCATGTCTGTGAATCATGCTTGTTCAATTTTAGGGAAATTCTAATGCCACTTTTTAGTTCTAAGCATCAGCACTCTAATCCAGACCACAAGATATATTGAGTTATGGGATAAGATTCCGTACTTATATGAATGTAGTCTTTCGGTTGGAAGTTGGAACTGACTAGTAACATTGATTTAGAATTAAGTGCAATAATTAAATCAGCTTAAGAGTGAATTAATAAATTTAGCCCGATCCTTATACTGAACCACAATGCAGCCCACCAACTATATATACATACAACATCCAAAATAGATAACTCTTGCAACTAAACTCCTATAGTCATTTCTTTGATTCCAAAATTTGTACCATTGCTACCAATTCAATATAATGTTGTTCAATTTTAATTATTGCTAACCTCTGCAATCTCTGTATGTCCTTAAGAATGCTCAATTCAGAGCTTTAGAAACTTCATCTCCCTGTGACTCTTTAATAATACGTTAAATGCTATTATCCAGCTAGCTAAGAAAATGTCACTCTAAATGAATGAAACAAAAGAAACAGCAACTAAAATCTTTATGCACTATCCCCATAATTTAAAACTTCAACTAGAAGGAAATAAAAATAAAAAGTAAAAATAATCCGTGCCCAATACATGTTTATTTTTACTTTCCAAAATTAAGCAAACTGATTAAAGCATTAAGATGCATTTTCCATGGAGATTTCCCTTCATTTTTTCATCAAT